TGTATACCCACTGAGCGCGTGGTTTAGCTCACACACCACTATAGCTTCTCTTTTTCAGGTACAAGAGGGGAAGACATAGATCAATCCACTGTCAAAAAGGGTTGTGTTTTGTACAATGTTAGTATGATATTCTGTTCGTTACGTATTTAGTTTTAAATGAGTAAATGATACTGGTTGAGGGACTATATAATTATTTGTTGGGTTGTTTATTATGTTAAATGAGAGATTATTATAGCAGGTTAATAGTATATATATTTGTAAACAGACTCAACAGGTATACTTTGTGATGTATGCTATGCGGGTGTGAGATTTTGTATCTGTCTATAACATTGGAAACAAACAATTGGTACAAATATTATATATGGTACAGGGTATGAGACAGGTTTACCATCATGCTTAATAACTAAGGTGATGGGTGGTATTGTTGCACCTGTGGGAGTAATTAATGTGTTATTAATCTAGATTATATACATGTAAACAGATGTATTAAAAACCTAGTCGCGTCTTACTCTTGGGAGACCGGAATGGGGCGTGACAGTGTTGATCTCTGAGAGTGATTATCTTGGTAATTACTCCACACGTACGATAATCCTTCTGGACTCCTTGAACTCTAGACTAGGCCGAATCTATGAACTGACCTTGACCCACTTCGTAGCTAATTTGAGCTTTATTTAATTAATTAGGCTTGACCCAATTTAATTTGGGCTCATCAACTTGAGGCTTAAATAAAAGTGAGACATATACTTCGAAATTGATGAGACAAAGTTTAAACGTGTTCTACTCACTGAGGAGATTAACATGGTATATTTATTTGTCTAAATTAAATGATAAATTATGTCTAAAAGTGACAAATTTGAAGTGATGAAATAAACAAAGATTGACATAGTGAAATAACATTTGTCCCACATTATAAGAAGATCAACACTTTGGTGAGTTAATATAGTCCTAATTGACTTTATGGGTTGGGTACCACACTTTTGTGAGCGAAAGCGAGCGCTTACAATACCTTGATTATCACATGTGCGTTGCCCGTCTCGCCACGCCATAACCACAACCCGACAGGGCTTGGGCTTGGGCAAAAAATGTATAATCTTTTTAGACAAAATTCATTTGGTGCAGTGCAGGTTGTGAGTCAATCCAAACGGTCCAATTCGCGAGTCGGTCTCTGTCTTCCAATATAAATTTAAAGTCCAACTGGATTTTAAATTTTATTCTCGTTAAATTTGAAATAAGTGCTAAATTGAAGAAGCTTGTATATTTGCTTCAGAAAAAAGTACCTTCTATCTTTATGGCTGATTGGATTAAAAGAATATGTCTCTTCAATCCAAATAGTGACAACTTATGTCTCTTCAAGCAATCTGAACAACCACAAAGATTCTATAAATAGACAATCCTCTAACCATTTTAATTCATCACAATTCTAGATTTCAGTTGCAGAAATTCTTCTCTCTCTGTGCATATTATTGCATTATTTTTTTGGTTCAGTTCAAGTATAAACATACGTTATATAAAACCCGGGTAAATTTGAATTTTTATGAAAAAATGGCAAAACGGTAATTTGTCACTACGGTACGGGTTGAAAATCTAATTTTTTATAGAGTTCGGATGATAAAACGGACCTCACCGTTGAATTCATCTCGCGAAATCTAGTTATTCAGTCAATTTTCATCAAATTTCGAGACAGTTGAATTTTTTTACGTTTTACGAGGCAATCGAGTGTCGCGTGACCTAAAAACGAAATATGAAATAAAATTTTAAAAGTTAAAAAATAATTTAAAGGAAGTTCTTATAAAAATATTTTAAACTTGAACTGGGACAAAATTTAATTATTTCAGGACGAAATCGAACTCATATATGGGGGACGTGTGGTACGATGAGGACCAAATATTTAAAGGGTATAAATAAGAGAGAAAAATCAGATTTCTCCCCATACCCATCATATTATCTAAAAAATATAAAGAAGAGAGGGAAACTCTACCTTCTCTCTACGATCTACGACGCTACGTTGCTCGAATCGACTCAAGCCAAGAACAAAAGTTGTTTTACTTATCGAGGGCTACACAATCATACCAAAAAAAAGCATAGATTTGGGTGAAGTTCCAAAAATAGACTTGGAGAAATCAAGGGTTTTAGGTGTGATTTGGGATTCTTAGAGCTTTCTAACATCGTTAATGCTTCAAGAGATAGAGTTTTCTCCTTAATTAGGTTTATTTTCAACCTAGGGCTGTGATATGGAATGAGTAGGCTGTTAGAGATGTATAACACTTGTCTATTGTTGTTAAAATTGATGAAATATGTATTAAAAATATATAAAAATTAATTCTAGCTTAAATTGGTGTGTAGAAATTACTAACTTGTAATTTCTTGAAAAATGGTATTATATGGGCATGCTATGTGTCTATATTGTGTTTTGGTGAATTAAGTGTGTTATTGACGTAGATTATGGAATAACATGCTTAGAATTGATGTTGGTATATGTATATGATATATTGACATTGTGATTATTGATGGTTATTGAAATGTTTATATTGTGCACATGGCATATGGAACATGTTGTTAAAATTGCAATTAAGATCTTAGTTGCATAATGATGAGAATTATAAATTGTAAATATACATTTGCATAAGCACGGGAAACATCACATTTATGGGCATTTGACATGAGTGTGGGTGTGTGTGCATGTTGTTGGATCAAACATCATCCTTGGTGGTTGATAAGTGGGCTCAGTACAATCGGACCAAGGTTTAACAGAGTCGTACAGTTGCATGAAAAACTTATGTCGGGTATAACAAGAAGGGATAGATACTTCACCGGTTATGAGATCCTGTTGCTAGTTTATACACTTTCGCCAGTGAAAGTTCAAAAAAATGTATCGGTGTGCGGAGCTGGCGGTGAGACACCAAAATCCCGCTACTCAACAAAGACACATGATTCATTTTTTTTAAAAAAAATTGTTGGATGTGCAACATCAATGACAAGTGCTTGGAATGTCCGATTTTATACTCATAATATTATATGGGTGATAGGAGTCGGTAAAGGCTCAGGTTGATTTGTATTTGTGAATCTTATCTCATAACATGACATGACATAAATGATCCATCATTAAATTACATATTATTGAATGGATGATTGTTGGTTTTTGAATTTGTATGTGAACATGTCATATGCATCTAGGTTGAGGAGTAGCCTTTTTAGGAGATACCCTATTGAGCGTGGCTCACCCTTTAGCCAGTAGAACTTTTCTAGTAGAGTTCTCTTACTGGTAGAATGTCACTGTTCCTACCGACAGAAGAATTCCAATAGACTATTTCTACCAGTAGAATAGAAACTTCTTCTACCGGTAGGTTTTCACAGATTTTCTTAAAAATTGAAGTTCAGTGCACAACTTCTATCGGTAGAATTTTGAACACTTCTACCAGTAGGTTTTCTTTAAACTTCAAATTTTTTTAATGTTTTACTAAGTCTTTGGGCATCGATTTCTTACTCAAAGAGGTTATATAAGATGTTAATGACTCTATATTGATGTATAAAGGACCATGAATTAGTAAATGATAAAGTGTATAACAGTTACACGTATGAGTTATGATTCCGGTTAAGGAGATATTATTGATGTGATGTCGAGTTGTGCGACAATCATGAGTTTTTTCTCGGATTGATGAGTGATAAACGGGTTGACAAGTGACCTCCAATTTTAGGAGCATCACAAGTTGTGTTCGTTGGAATCTTGAAGATTAAAGTGCTATTTCTCAATAACATAAAAATTTATTCTATTTTGTGAGACAGTTGCTTATCAACCTTGAGCACCGAAAGATAGCAAATATGTCTTAAGGAGATTGTATTTTACAAGGCTTGAATTATATATTCTGGTTTTCTTATTAATTATTCGTGCAGATTTGTGTCCTTACGAGTGCACTGATTTTGATTTCTGTACATTCTGTTTAGATTAATATATAAGTTACACTTTATACAGTTTTATATAATCTAATTATATATATATATTTTCTCTAACATTATTTCTCATGGTCCTATTTTTTTGTTTATGAAGACTAAATATTCTTAAGACAAATGTGTCCATCTGACATAAAATTAACACAAAATTATTTTATATAAAGTTAGTTTTAATGTATTCGAGTCCTAATAAAAAAGACCTACCCAACACACTCGAAGTATCAAAAATGGATCATTAGTTTGTTAGGTAGTAGAAGTAAAAAGAAAACAAAATATAAGGACTTATTGACAAATACTTTACAATGCGAGGTCTTTCCAGTGAACCCATTAATTGCCTAAAGAAAAATTATACTTTGCCCCCTTCATTATTACCATTTTTTATATTATTCTCTCAACTATCAAAATTTTGACATTATACCCTCAACTAGTTTTCACATCAACATAATTAGGGATGTCAGAATACAACACAACGCGAAATTAGAAGATATGAGTCTTTCTTAAGTCACCATTTTTATAAACGAATAAATTTAACACAATACAATTAATAAATAATTGAGTATGAATGAAGCTAATAAAAAAATATATCATATGACTCATATATATACCTGTTATATACAATTTATATATAACTAGATATAACATAATTCGTTAGATATGAATTAATAAATTAATTAAATATAAAATATTTTTTAACATGAATCCACTAAGATCTGATATCAACCCGCCTTATCCCAATATGATTGACAAACTTAACTCTAACTCTTAACATCTATTATATATTTAATGAAAAGTTGTTTTATTTTGATTTCAAACTATGTAATTTTTTTATTTTGTCCCGATATGTTGGTCGTTTTCGTCCAAAAAGATATAGGACATTTGTAACTGGGGTAATATGAAAAATTCAATAATTGAAAGGAAAAAGTAAAATCGAATCCATAGGGTAAGAGTAAATGTGTAATTTACCCATTTCCTACCAAACAAGAATAAGACAAATAAAAAGGGTGGTGGGAGTTGATCGATTCCACCAACCGTCTGAATAGAAATCGGATTTTTCCTCCGTTTTCTGCCCTTTCCTCTTCTTTCCATAATTCTTTTCTTTGATTTGACACCTCTCTCTCTCTCTCTCTCTCTACACTTTTCTAGGGCTGTTTGCTCCTCCTCCTCATATTCTCAGCCTGTTCACACACCAAACTCTCTTCTTCCTCAACTCTACCAATACATCTACATAGAGAGAGAGAGAGAGAGAATACTAGCAATGGCGAAGGATTTGGTTTCTTCATCTGAGAATCTAGCCATTTTGCATACGCCGTCGTCTTCGGGAGTTGCTGTTGCTGATGACAGCTTCGAGGACGCTTGTAGTATCTGTCTCGAACCTTTCAGCTCCGACGATCCCGCCTCGGTATGATCCCCTCTCTCCCTAGGCATATCAATATGTGTATATGTGATCATGCATTAGTGTCTAGTGATGTTTTGTGTATCTAGATTTCACAAAGTTTGGGGCTTTTTTATGCTTGATTGACTGAACAGGACAATTGGAATGACTATATCTGAAATTTTGAGTGGTTAAAATCACAATGGCCGGAGTCATAAGATCTTTTGAATTGCTGATATGGAGACATTTAAGTAAATAGATTTGAGACTCATAGCTATACAGATGGCCTTGGGTGTGTGGACTCTAGAGCAATAAGGATATTGTTAGTTTTGATTATTTTCACGGATTTATTCATCAGAACTTCAGAAGTGATTAAATCAGTGATTAATTTGGAAAATACAGTTGGATTAACTAAATGAAATTGATTTTTAAATTGGAAAATACAGTTAGATTAACTAAATGAAATTGATTTTTGATTATCTTAAATCATAATGAAGTTTCGGGGTGACTAATTGTTAATATAGTCTTTCTGGGGTTAAGAATCTAGAAATCCAAAAGAAAGTTATTCTTGTGCTGTTTCAACCAAACAGGAGTATTTAAATGTTAAATCATAATCGATATTCAATGACCAATTCATCGAAAATCATACTCAGTTTAAAAAATCGAAACCAAACGTAACTTCCTTAATTTGCCCATCCTTGGACTAATATGCTTATAGTTGATTTTTATATGTGATTTTCAATGTATCTGCCACTTATAAAGCTGGGGCCTATTGATTTTTCAGTGTCCAGAGAGGTAAAATCTGAATGATCTCATTGTTGATCCTTTGGATTGCATAAGCAGGGTTAATTATAGTGGCAAGCAGTTTAGTGCTGGCAATAACCTTTATTTTGTTTTCAGGTTACCAGCTGCAAGCACGAGTATCATCTTCAGTGCATTCTTGAATGGTAGGGTTTACCATCTTGATATTAAATTTAAATAAGCTTAATAATTCTGGGCAAACACTACATCCACATGCAGTTGTGCACAATCAAGTGGTGTGTACATTGCAGTTACCCATTATTAGTTGAATGAACTTGTTTCTTTCCAGGTCACAAAGAAGCAAAGAATGCCCAATATGTTGGCAGATTCTTGGCATGAAGGATGCTGCAAGGTAGATAATTTTTACAAAAACCGGAATACACACCTGTGCACTGTCAAAATGCTTCGTATCAATCATTTGCGTCCATCAAATCTGGGTTCATCGTTATAACATTTTCTATGTCATTTACTTCTCTTCTAAGTTCTAACCTTTATTTGATTTTTGTCTCTAGTCAAGAGCTTTTAGCAGCAGTTGAGAATGAGAGAACCTTGAGGTCAAGGCGTACTGTTCACCCAATCGATGAAGACCATGATATCAATCAAGTGGGTTATGCCTTTAGACTTGAAGTTTTTCTCTTGATTTACTTATTCGTTTGGCTATTTCTTTCAGTTCCTGGGTAGCTTGATCATTAAAATGGAATCTTTCAGGAAGCTCCTTACATGGATGATTCTGACTTTGAGGAGCAAATTATGTGGCATTTCGCTGCTGCTGCAAGCAGATCTCGCTACATAAACAGAAGGGGAAGGCAGAGGTCTTCAGGAATTGGTTCTTCACAAGTTCTTCCTGCTGCTCCAATTGCAGATGTGCCCAATGTGCAGCAAATGTATACCTCTCCAGAAGAGCGCCAAAATCCAGGTCATGGGTTCTTAGCAGTGGATTCACCAGCTTGTAGCACACCACATACTACCATTGATCAATATCCACCATCTGTGGTTCCACCTGTTATGAATACAGTATCAAACTCTGCTGGAAACAGTGATAGTCCTGCCCAGGCCAGGTATTTACCAAAATTTTTATTTATGATTAATGTGTATATATACACATATATGTATCTTAATGAATTGGTTTCATTTAAACAAGGGACTACATTCCATATCAGGTTACAGTCGAACCTTTTCTGTAATAATCCACGTGGTTGAACTGAATTGTGTATGTGGATGAGTGAAGCTTACAATAAAAGTTTGTTGCTACTTGCTAGTGATTGTTCCATGTCTCTTTATTTTAGAATGCATATACTGTGACTAAGAGATTGTTTGACACTATTCAGTGCTTTTGACAGTAAGCCAACCGCTGATAGTCAGCCAAGACGAAGCTCATCTGACTTTCTCACTTTGTCGGAGTCCATTAAATCTAGATTGTCTACTGCCTCAGCCAGGTAGCTGTGTTTCAGGTTGTTTTTCTTTTCAAAGCGGATGCTGGCTTAGTTTTTGCTGAGATGTATGGATCATCAACACAGGTACAAGGAATCAATCTCAAAAAGTACACGAGGATTCAAGGAAAAATTACTAGCTCGCAATAACTCGGTAAAGGAATTGAGCAAAGGAGTGCGGCGTGAGATGAGTGCAGGAATTACTGAAGTTGCAAGAATGATTGAACGTATAGACATTACTTCAAAACGATCTGGAGTTTCTGCTCCCTTATCCAATCCCGCTGGAGGAACCTCAAACTCATCTCATAAAGGAAAGGGTTTGCATGGGAATGAGTCTTGTCATGGAAATACTGGGGAAACTGCACATAACATGTCTTCAGATGCACCCATATCTGTCTCCATCACCACTCCAGGTCGATTGGAAGTTTCTCTTACACAGGTTTGTGAACTTTACTCTCCCCGTGTTCTGAGTAAATCATTTTGCTTGAATGCTTGCATGTCTTCCTTAGTTGAATGGAGATTACTTACACTTACACGAGTGTATGAGTTATAGGGAATTGTGATGTCATATATGTTATTGGTTTCAACAATTTTATAACTTATGTACTTGAAAATTTTAAATTTCACTTCATACCACGTTTGAAGATCACTGGCCTTTTGGATTCTCATACTTTCATCTTGTTTAGAATGAGCATCTTCATTCTAACCTAAATATGACCTTTGCTGTAGTTCAATCCTACTATAATTTGCTTTTGTGCCCTCTCTTACTTTCTCTTCATAGGGTGGAAACCAACGTTGCTGAGATCAGGATGAGGAGTCAACTTTGACATGCGTATTATCATCCAACAGAAGGCATTTCATGCAAGTGATGGGTATTGAAGAATCAACCCCACTCGTAGATAGATGGTTGGTTCGCGTCCTGCATTAGTTCTTCTAAACATATACATCCGTCTATGGTTAGGAGAAATTAGTCGCTGTTTCCACCTACTGTTAACCTAAAATTCATGACCTGTATCAGTTGGTTCCTATATAATGCTGTAGAATATGGTAAGAGCACTGAAGGAGAGATTTTTCATACTCGCGTTTGCTTCCCATTTCCCATGTTTTTTTTTTGTCACTGAATGCAGTAAGATCCGATAGACGAATGGTATCAGTAACCTTACATACTTAGATGGCTATGGACACAACTTTTCTCCTTAGTGTTTTAAAGTATTTTTTTTCGAAATAGAATGGTATGAATTTGAGTTTTTGGTTTTTTCTTTGTTCGGATTTACCCCTCTTGAGAATGTTGAAGCTCAGGAGGTTGATGTCAACAAGCCTATGCTGATATACAAGAGCTACATACAACCATCCCCTTTTGGTTAGACACTATTACAGGAAGGGAACAATAAGGTTCAAACCAGCAGTCAAAGGTAGTACAAAAAAAAAAAAAAAAAATTAACAGGCTAAGGTGGTGGCCATTAGCTAACCTCTTCCCATTGAATTTTTACTCATACATCTTACAGTAATCAAGTTTTGAGATTTTGATGTGGTTAAATGTCCATACCAACCAGGCATACCAGCCAACATTGTAAAGCACCAATAAAGTAGCAAAGTACTCACTGTTAATACAAAAGAAAACGTCAACAGTGCAGACCTCTAAATCTGCCTCATCCGGTTGATATTCGGATCTGACTTCATATATTTTGCAAGCGTGATGTATCACTGAGCCCAATTTATTTCCAGAAGAGTAAAAGTGACAATAAATTCACCAGAATTAATGTACGATGGCAACACTATAATCAGTAACCACACAGCTTCTGTTTCTATGGGCCTAAAAGAAAATATGCATGTAAAAATATCTTGCATTCGTGTGATTCCATGAAACTGATGCGGCTTTAGATCTGTCCCAAAATCACTTCTCCACCAGAAACCTTGAACTCCGATGGCGCTGTCTCCACATTAAGAATCTTCACCTTCCCATCAACCACGTATGCTGACCATCTGCATAGAACAGCAGTAATGTTGCACACACTCGAAAAATTATTGTAGATGGAGTGCCAAGAATGTTACAAGAAAATATTGTTCTTTAACCAAAATGGATCAATAATAGCATGGAAACGCATGCATGGTCTAGTGCTATGGAAATTTTATCACATACCTATGGGAGCGAGGTCCAAGCAAAGCACCAGAGAGATCTATTGTTAAGTCCAGACTCTCGTGGAAGCTAGCATCGAAGTCACCATAAAATTCAATCTACGTAGACAAAATAACAAAAATTCTACCTTCGGTCAAATCAGCTCAGTTCATTATCATTTCATGAAACAGAATGCCATCAAAGCAGTACAGAATCATATGAAAGTGCCACCCATCATGTATGAAGAAAAGGGAGAAGTTTCTTGGGCAAGGCAACAAAGAAATAGTTGATCATGAAATTTGATACATCATGCATAACATCCCAAAACCAATAATTCCCTCCTCTTCACATTTAATGCTCAATAAAACAGCATGCATTGGCTCTCATCACCAAACAAATCTTAGACTTATTACTGCAATGTATACGATTTTTGAAGTTTGAAGATATTGCACGACGGGAATAGACCGTTCATGAGGAAAATGGAACAGTTATGCTATCACAAAACAGGAAACCGCTGTATCTAATGGTCAGTGGATCATGCAGCCCAAAATGTTCAAGAAGCCGGCTTTGCAAGAATTTAGTCAAACTCCTCTTAGTGGTAAAGCAGTTACAGGACAGGGCATTATAAAAGTGCATGATTTTTGCTTCTAACCAGCGGCTTGGCAGAGGCTAGGAGCCAACTTACAGGCGAAGTTGTATAGATTATGTGATTGTCAACCTAATTTCCAAAATTGTTGACGTTAATTTCTTCCCCATACCGTTTATTCTACTAGCTGTCTAGCCACCAGGATGAACTATGAATGGTGTCAAATAGATGTTATGTTTCACATTCGCATAGCTCATGAATGCTGCCTACTACCTGGATGTCAAGAATCCCACCTTACATTTTCGCTTTTATTCATACTTGAGTGACAAATGATTTTTGGGTTATAGTGGCCAAAGGCTATCCAGCGAGTCAGTACACAGCTCCTGACAACAATACATTAATGCAACCATTTCTTCCTGCAATGTGAATGAATCCCACTTGAAACTTGGTCCCTCTTCTCCAACCCCCCCTGCACGCCGGGGGGGGGGGGGGGGGTTGTTGAACAAGTGAATCCGGGCTCCTAATAATATTGCCTTGACGAAGTTGATCAAGATATGTAAACATTATTTCTGGTAAGTGAAGTTGATCAAGATTTTCAATTATGAATTATTCATAAGCAAATAGCAACTTATTGGCAACTCATTTCATTTGCTGAGAGAAGGGAAGGAAACAAATAATTTTTCAGATGGTACATACTAAAAGCATTTTTTTAGGCAAAAGAATAAGACTTGAGTGAAGAACTTACAGCCTCTTTGGCTTGAAGTTTTTCCGCCCAGCCATTCAAAACATATGGATCATTGACAGCTACGCATATCACCGAATCAATCCCTTTGGCCTTGAACTTATCAATGTTATTCTTGTAACTTGGTACATGCTGGGCTGAACAAACTCCTGTGTATGCACCCTGAATGATAGTAGAGCGAGCCTCATGAAACCATATTAAAAAAAGAAACAGAAGTGAAAACAATCGATGACAAAACCTCCTCAACCCATAATTTGCTCAGCAGAGAGGGTTAGTTCTTTTTTATGCAGCAATGTCACCACAGTCATCAAAATACCAACCACCCATCAGGTATCACCAAGTTTTCACCACACAATCGGATCCAGTCACCAAAAACATCAACTCTAAATTTAATGATGATTATAACTTCTGTAATTATCAGAAAACTTGATCTTTTTAAAAAATGTATGCACCATAAGGACTTTTTTCCAGTGAAAGACCCTAGTCACCCTACCTCCCAATTACCAGTTCCAACACACATAAGAACAAAACTAATTATATACGGTATAACTCATAAGAACAAAACATTGTACACGAATCGATAGTTTAAAAAGAAACTTACGGGAAGCCCAAAGATGATGACTTTTTTTTCCTGAAAATCAAGAATTAAACAAAACAATAAAATAAAAATCGACAACAATACAAAACATTAGTACAGAAACACGGATTAATGAAAGGAAATGGAACCTTGAAAATGTCCTTGAGGGGGGTAGTGGAGAACTTAGAGGAGACGCCATCCTCCCAGCTCCGAGCTTTCTGGAGAGAAACATCCGGTGCGGCTGAGACCAGATCGGTCCCCACTGCAAGCGATGCGTAAGCCCTCGATGCTCTCAGACTTCCGGCGATCGACTTCATCATCGCCGTCCGTTTCAACATTGCCGAAGCCATAGCTCTACACTGTTAGTCACGGAACTGACAGCTCTGTTCTCTTACCGACTCTGCAAAGGAAAATGTTCTATTAAATTGGGCCTATCAAATGGGCTGACAAAGCCCATCAGTCTTCTCGTCTATTTGCTGCTTCTTTCATTTACCAAAACTTGCCCCCCAAAAAATAAATAATAAATTAATGAATAAAAATCAGCAAGAGAACTAGTCGTGCCCCATACAAAAAACACATTTGTTTAAAAGTTAAAATTTAAATAAGTTACTATGATTAAAATTTAAAAAGTTAAATTATAATATAAACCATCAAATTTAAACGATTTGAACCATTGTATTTTTTTACCTAAGGGCTTAAACAGCTCTACCAGACGCTCTGTTTTATTATTATAGATTATAGATAGTATGAATTCCTTATGATAACTCTCTTCTAGCCTTCTTTTTGTAAAATCTATACAAAAACTCAGTGCACATGTGAAGGGATCAACCCTTATCCCAACATCAAATTCCGAACCCACAAAAGAGTAGTACTATGCATGTCCTAAATTCCAGGAAATTTCAAATTGTTACCTTGGACAGGAGAATTGTCCAAACCATGTACCTTTTAGAATCGTGGCTAGACCTTGAGGTAGTAATCCATGGTAAGAGAAAACTACCCAGATGGTTTATCGTTCTTACTTTATGCAAACAATAAAAGGGAAATCAGAGAGATTTAGCTTCCATTGTGCAAAATATTTTACAGCAACTAGAATATTTTACAGCAACTAGAAGCTCTGTTGGCAAATCAAGCTTAGACGGGTGCTCTCTAACGAACTCTCTAATTCATTAAAGTCGGTCTATTTTCCTGTGTCTTCCTCTTGGAAGGTTGAAACACTCTCTTGTCCAGTTCGTGGGGGATGGAGATGCTTTGACGTGTGCAGAAACTCTAGATAGAAGTAGACAAGAGTTGTGTCTGGATGACTGCAATTGCATGACAAGCAGCATAAACTTCCATGCCCTACATTAAAACAGTATAAAGATAATTAGGTCATTACCTGCATAACAAACTCCTTGCTACTTAAAGTACTGGCTCCCATGCCTGGTAAACAGTCTATCATGTTTATAGACTACTACAAGAGCATTTTTGGCTATATACCAATGTGAACACGAAAAGTTATGTCATGAAGCTACAGTGTTAGCATGAATCTGAACTTTTCTTTGCAACACTCTAACAGGGAGGTAGGTTTGTATTCTTCTATTAAACCACGTTCAACACCATAAGAACCTAAATATACATCTCCAGGGACGCACTAAATATGGAGACCTTGCAGCCATTACCAGTAAATTAAATTCTACTAACATGCAACATATGGAGGAGAACTTGCAGTGATTACCGGGAAACTAAATTCTACAAACTTCAATCACGCTATGCAAGAAAGAAAATATTTAGCATGCTTATACCTTGTCGTTGGAAGAATTTGACATGACATAAAGAAGCATCAGTATTAATTATCGGGGGTACTATGAAACAATTTTGGCCTCTAAAACAAAGAATTTCCTCATTAATTTAGTGAAGTGCGTGTACAACAGATTTGATTCTAGCACAAGATTTACGAAAGTAAAAGGACCATATGCTACTATGTAAGAAACCTATCAATAAACAAAGACATACACAAGATACTGTTGTTCTTTTAAAACACTCTTCAATCCCTGCAGAGTGACAGCATATGTAAGAAGATATCAAGAAGGGTTTACAAAATACTTACTATTTCTTTTGTGCATGCCACTTTTCAATGCTTCCATACCAGTTCCATTGGAAACACAGACCTGCAACACGTAATATACCAATAGCAACTACCTCAATGAATGCCATTAGGAATGATCTTTGAGGTGAAAGGCCAGCAGTTGCTATGGCCAGTAGAGAACCCTCGAGGTTGCATGGGACCATAAAACTAGCAGATTTGATTCCATTCAAAGCTTTCTTGGCTACTTCATCAGCTTTCATTGCGCCAGATGCAGCAGCTATGATACTGGTGAGCTGTGGTCTTCTCTTGTTCTCTGGGATATAAGTATTGCACGGATCATTAAACAAAGAATAAAGGAGAGTAGAAAATAAATAGTCTGACCCAAAAAAACAAGCATAGTTCCTATGAAATTGCAATGTTCTTAGAAATGGTGGATATGCTCCAAACTCCAAAGTGTGCCTTAGGTTAGAAGTAGGGCAAAGGAGTCCCCAACAGGTGTGTAGGTAAAAGATATTAGACATATGGAAGGAAGCTTTAAGGATATTAGATGTATATCTAACTGAGGACTAAGGAAGGGTGAAAGCTTGCAATACATCAAGTCTCTTAGACAACAAGCAGTAAAATTGATGAAAAGGAAAATAACAAAAATGAAAACAAAATATCCCAGTCAACTGAATGGTTTAAAATATGCAAATTCGCACATAGAAAAAACCAAAGCGAGTTCATAAGTTAACTTGTACCATCTTGTTATTTGTCCCTAAACAAAAATTTCATAAATTTATCCAAACTAGGTCATAATTTAACTTTTTTGGGAAAAAAAGAGCGGCCTAGTGCACGAGACTCCCACCACTATAAGGTCTTGAGATGTCAGATGGACACAGCCTTAAGCCCAATATGTGGAGAAGCTGTTTTTAGTAAGCATCACAATTCAGCTTTTACCGGCTTGTTCTTTCTTGCTAAACAAACACGTCATAAATTAATCAAAACTTGTTCCTAAATTAATTGTTAATGTCTTGTTCTTTGTTCCTTCTCACTAAATAACATCCATGTACTCCCCCCCCCCCCTTTTTTCTGCTGAAATAAAAGAAGCTTAAGTCATAAAAAACTAAAAAGCCAATCAACAAAATCAAAATTCTTCATTTCTTTAAAGTCCGTTCTCTCTCTCTCTCCAACCCTCACAAAAATAAATAAATTCAAGTAGCTATAATTTTTTGAAAGAACATGGATTATAAGTAAATCAGAATCCTGAAGAACACATTAGGCCTCTACTAAACCCTTTGAAGGAGCTCCAAAATAAATACAACTACAGCCTTAAGGATCACTCTCAATGTCTCATCTTTTGAGAGAATTACCTATATGATACTGGCAAGTTAATGTACCCAAAAAACAGAAGCATGCCACACTTGACCTAAAACTTCTGTCTTTATTCTATCTCCAGCTCCAAACCCGAAGAAATCATACGCCTTAGGCACAAAAGTCCAAAGATCCCATTCCAACCGCAGAGTAAATACTGATGATCCATCTATTTAGTTAACTCCCTGGACAGTATGCAATATTTAAAACTCACCAATCTCCTTAACACATTCAGCCACACTCAAAACAAAAAGCCACATCTAGCACCACTAGTGCCAGAACCTTATTTGTCTATCAAATAATAAGATTTTAGGCAGTCCAAAAAAGGGAGAAATCCAAAAAGCTTGCAGGCATCATCAGGAAAAGCTTTAAAATACCAATAGGCAATGAGGAACCATTCAGAGTTCTACAAATTAATATTTCAAACAAGTAAATACATTCAAACTCACCACCTTTGTGGCTATCATAGAAAAAATCTGAGTAAATTGCTCCATGACGGTGTCTTCTCCACAACACACATCCTTCTAAGCCTCTAGCCATTACTAATTGCAACACTGAACTTTAATCACTTCCTGCACTGATCCACTCACCACTACCACACTTTATCCCCAAAGATGGTTCTTTTCCAACCAAATCAGTACAACCATTCAGCTAAAAGGCAACAATACATTAAAAGTCTGAAACTAACAGTCTAATGTTGAACCCACTAGTTTTAAGCAGAAAATTTTCCTCTTCAGAAGGTGATAGTCAAATTTGTCTCTTATCCCCTTAGGCGTAAAACTATTGGAAGACTACCCAATTTCCTTGAAACGGAGGTTGGACTCTCTCAACGAGAAGTAAGAAAGTTGTCCAATTTACTCCTCTAGAAAGATGAGTTCTCTTCCAATCACAAGCGAGGGCAGTATAGAATGGCCAAAAATATATATTTTAAACAGATTATACAGTCCGCTCTAAGGCAAGATGAAAATCAGAGTCCAAACCTTCTGCCAAGCCAGGGGTTTCAGTATCTGGGGGAAATATAAGCGAGACATGAATGTTGTCAGCAATAACCTCCTGTTGCAATGCTTCCGCCATTCCCCTCAGCCCAAACTTACTAGCTGAATAAGCAGTGTAACCATAAATTCCCACCTAAAAAGACAGATAGAAAGTTGAAGCAGCATGTACATGTGACCGTAAAGAACACACACACACAACTAACTACAAGACCGAAATAAAATGATACCTGACCGGCCTGAGACGACATGATAGCGATCGAAGCAGGTGCACGATCCGTCCGATTCTTCATTCCAGGCAACGCCGCCTTGATCAGATGAAAAGTCCCCATCAAATTCACATCCAACATGAACTTAACTTCCTCCAACTCCTGTCCCTCCAATTCCCTCGGTACAAACACTCCCTGATTGCACACCAACACATCGATCGGTCCAGCCTCCTCAATAGATTTCTTGAGAGAATCGAAGTCTCTCACATCGGCGCTGAAAACGGCGACATCACGACCGGTGGACAACTTGATCGACTGCTTCGCTTCATTCAGTTTCTCCATGTTCCGCGCGAGGATTGAGACTTTTGCGCCTTCAAGTGCGGCCTCGTGGGCCAAAGCAAGGCCGATGCCGCTGGATCCGCCGGTGATGAACACGTGGCGGTTCTTGATTTGTATCTTGACCGGTCGGGGTTTGACGATGAAGTAGAGGAAGAGGAGAAGAGAGAGAGGGCAGAGAAGAATAAGAGAGAGAAAGGCCAGGTTTTGGTCAGCCATTGTTGAGAGCTTCGACTGACTAGTGACTCTCTCTCACTCTCTGAAACAGGTTTGTTTTGATTCGTAATGCGACTGTGCTTACAAGAAAGAACGACGTCGTCTCAGGTACTGAACTGGGCTAGATATATGGGCTTCTAGGATTGAGTTTTTAAGGGTTCAAGCCAGTACCAATATTATCATAATTGGACCGGTCATTAATCCGGCAAAGGGACCGTGTTAAAGATTCGCTGGTTGGCCCAACCCAATCATATAATAAAAAAATATATATAATAATTATAAAGTATAATAATTTAATTAAAAAATATAAAATAGATCTAAAATGCATTGAATATGACTAATAGTTCCTCCCTAGCTGCGGTCTTCTTTTGACTTTTCTGCTCAGGGTTCTCTACCTAGGGCTTTAACGGAGTTGCTGGTGCAAGATCGGATGAAGCTGCCAGTTGCTAGGAGGAGACTTCAAATTTGTTATGATGTATAGATTGTATTTTGAAGGATTAAAGCCTGAGTGTCGCCTGAGTGCTGCCTCGTTGTCGCTGGTGAGACGAAGGGTAGCGCTGTGTCGCTGGTAAGCCGCCTGAGCACTGATCGCTGTCGTTGGTGAGCCGCCTGATACTGAACACTGATGGACTGGTTCCCTTGGTCGCCTGAGCACTGATCGGTGCCTCCCTGGTCTGCCTCACTCCTCGTTGAGGTCTGCCTTATGCGATTAAGGGCAAAATCAAAATGCCCAAATTAAAAATAGCAGGTTCAAATTTATTTATTTTTTTTAATGGATATCAAACCGGTCAGGTTTTTAAAAACAGTCCGGTTCACGGTTTTCTTCAAAAACCGGCCGATTTAACGGTTTTTATCCGATTCTTTTTTATGCTGTTTAACTATTCAACCGGACCGGTTGGAGTTTCGGGTCACGGTTGAACCGGTTCGAACACCTAAGCCACCTGTGGTTGTTTGTTATATAAAAAAAACAAGGGCGTGACAGGGGAGAGTCAAACTTAGGTTGTTAGAGAAAGTTTAATTTAAGTATTTATATTTTAACACGTTTTTTCATGTTCAGGCTAAATTTTGGGCTTAACACGTAAATTTTTTCAGCCATATTCGAATACATGATCTGTTATTTTGATACTATATTGAACAACCATCTACTCCAAAACTTTAATGGAATCGACGCGAGGAATTTTCCAACCTTAACAACAATCATATAATTCAATCACAGGGAGAAGCACAAACCTCAGGAAAAACCTCTCTAAAGCTATTTCTAGTAGTTTTTCTTTGTGCAAGATCACCATACAAATCAGTGAATCTTTGCCTCAACTCATTGGCAAAGATATTATTACAATTTACTGAGTTCTTACTTCTTATATCTATCATCTTTTATGATTAAAAGAATTATGAGATGGATTGCTATTTTGAGGTACATTATTAGGAAGCCCTCTTGAGTTATCAATGTGTCTCTGGACATTGATGTTGTTGGATGAAGTGGATCTTCCTTGTCTGTTCTTCCTTCTTGGGTTAGACGAACGAGGGATAAAAACCCCAGTTCCTTTGCCTTCTCTTCTGCTTATTTGATCATACAAAAATGGTGGTTGTCTTATTGGATGCAGTGCTTGAGAGAAGGCCTAAAACATTCATGAAAGGGCAAAATTCATCATATTTGAGTAGCAATTGTTTAGTATCCAACAAACTGAAACAACATAGATTAAAGGAGAGAGAGAGGGAGAGAAAACTTTGACTTAATGCGAAAAAGCAAGAAGCAACTGCAGGAAACAAAGATTAAAAGAGCGGTATAATGAACAGGAAGATTATTAAGATGTACGGAGTCTTTTTTTTTTTAAAAAAGAGCGGGAGCAAAGAGAGTATTTTGAGACCATCCCAATAAGTTTTAAGAAACTACTGTTTCGGGAACGAATTTAACTAGGCTAGTATAACGGTCAACTATCGAATCTCAATGTGAATTTCTACACTTGAATCTCCAACCTTTGGGTGAGAAGATTCGCCCGGTACCCCACTCGATGGTAGATATTAACCGTCTTACTTATAAGAAAGAAAATTATTTTTATGACACAAACCCTTGACGTTTATATTGCAATAGAATAATCTTACCTTTGTGGCTAGGCCGACTAATAATAGATCGATTCTTATGTATAAAAAACTGTAAAAGAGAAGGTGATGGAGAACCTGGAGAGTAACACGAGGAAAATGAGCCACTGGATCTTCTTCGTCATCCATGATTAGTTGAGAAATTTGCTTGCTTAAGTCTGCAAAAAACACATCATCGTCTACTTCACCAGCTACTTCCATTTATCTATCTATCTTCTGTCCTCAAACTGGTATGAAGAGCTTGTTACTGACTGGTATAACAAAGAAAAACAAGAGAACTTCAGTTTTTCTCTTTCTAAATCTAGCTCTTCTTCTCAAAGAGAATAAGATATGTAAAAGGGTTTAAATAAGGGAATGTCTGGGATGGGTTGAATTTATGGGTTGGACATGTGGGGTGGTACGATCATGAGATTCAGTTGGCCACTCTGTCCAAAGTCCCTCAGGGACCCCACAAAGATCATGATTCATGAAGTATGTTAATGATATTATCCAGATGGAAAAAGAGATGAGGACCAGATACAGCAACAACCCACAAACCCAGAATCTCATCCAAGATAGACTTGATCTTTGGCATATACTTCGTGGTATATGTGTTCTCTCTCTCTCTCTCTCTCTCTCTCTCTCTCTCTCTCAATAGAATAAGTTGTGGTTTACACTTTACAGTTCACCGTACACTTACACATGGGTTCCACACACATGCATGTGTAATTGCCAAATTTAGGTTGGTCAGAAGTTGATCCTAACAAGGGTTTCTTTGAATTTTCCAGTTCTGTTTTTGATTAAATCGTAAAGGATCTTAATCAAGATCTGCATCAATTAATTTAGATACTCTTGACCATTAAACCAAAAAAATCTCCCATACTCGATGCTAGGATTAGGTCTTCTCGGGGTCCAATTGGCCGAAAAAAGAAATTATTTTTTCAGTATTGTACTGTTTTTACCTTAAAAATGAGAATAAGAAAATGTGTAAAGTTGTTTTATATTGAATCAAAGGAAGATATTTGATCATAATTTATTTCTTGATATAATACCAAAACAAAGTGATCTATGTTAATATTAGGATATTCATGAAAGATAAATCTTTCATGACCTGATCATAAAGAATTATCAAAATTTGAATTCAAGTCATCTGAATTTAAAATTTGCTTGTACCGAAGTTAAGCATCCAATCTTTTGGGTGACACAAAAAGATGACAAACTATATTTATTTTGGGAAGAGATAAAGAAGTGTCAATCAGAATCTATCCATACCACTTGGCTTGCAGATAGATTGCATCCTTGTTGGAGTAGTGGAGCAGATAATCTTATTATTATAGTAAGATAGGATTTTTCATCTTTGCTTTTTCACGAGGTTGAAGGGTCAGCTACCTTCAACTTAGGGTTTTGGTTTTAGAAAATAAGGGATAGAGGGAGTGACATCCCATCTAATATTTTTTTTAAAATTTTTTTTTGGTGAATCTCTTATGTATGTTTAAGTGAGACCCATTGTTTTTAGAGGGTCGCTCACTAATTAATGGTAGACAATTTTCTTAAAAAAATTAAAGAAAAAAATATGAAAGAGGATCTAAATCCGAGTTGAGATTTTATCTATTATATTTTTAATCAATAATAAATTATCCACAGTATCTACATGATGGGTCTATATTATGAACAGTCAATTTAAATGGGCGCACTATTTATTAGTGTACTTGTCATTTATACACGGTATGTATCTGTGAGTAAAAGTGTGATGGAAAGAATCTAAATTCGAAATACATTAACACATGAGACTTCAAAATGTCCATATACATATAGCTGCATGTCATTTGCTTAAAAGCGTAGTGGATTACGGGTTTGTTTGGATGGATTTTTGAGAAGGATTTGAGTTGGCTTCTCTAAACTCTTTCAAACTCAACTCGTCTTTACAAAGATGTGATTCAACATTGAATTCAATCTATACTCATATTTGGTATGCAATATATACATATATATGACTCACAGATATATCATAATTATTAACTAATATTTGTCTTATAAATGATTATTTTACTTTTGATTAATTCAATTCATACTCATGTTAAGAGGTAGAACTGTCTTTTACATCCTTAATCCGTCTTCTCAAATCCACCCCACCCTAAGGTTTGATAAAACTCATGATCATGAGTTTAATATTTGGTTCAATTGCAGGCGGAGATTGAGAACTCAATATTGAAATTTCAATCTAAACATAGAGTTCAAGGATCTTTTAGACTATTTTTTTCAAATCCATCTTGTCAAGCCATACCCATTTACCAAACAGGCCTATGTATGTCATCATGGGGATCCATATACCATACGGTTTGCTGGCTAGCTAACTGCTAAGAACTAAGGACCCACTTCCATTTGCAGAACATCACGGTGGAGAGAAAGCGAAATTCTTTTTAATACTTTTTTTCTTTAATTTTCTTCTCGGTAGATTATTCATCAGATATAAGTGGATTCCTCGCTCATTAATAGGGTGGAGATAATCATCTCTCTCTCTATGAATTGTTGTATCTTCTGAATGAATGACCCTATGCTTTGCTTAATTGCATCTTTAAAGAAGTTAAAATGAAGATCAAGTAAAAATTACCAAAAAAGACAGTTCCAAAATTCTATTCCAAATACAACTATGTGAGGTTTTGCACATATAATAAAGTCATGTGTGTCATGTGTCTAGGGGGTGTTAATCGACTCGAACTTGACTTGTATTCTAAACAAGCTAAACTTGAACAATTTTTTAAATTTGTTTAAAAAAACAAACCTAAAAAACTCAACTCGTTTATATATAAAACAATCGAACGACTCAGTCTAAAACTCGGCTCAAGTTCTAAACAAGTTGAACTTAAATAATTTTTTAAATTCATTAAAAAAAACAAACTCGAGTTCAAACTAGCAAAGTTAGACTCAATTAGCACCCTACCTTTGTCTAGATAGAAGATGCTCGTGCCCCATCTATGATTGAAAACATCTCAAGTTACAGCATAGAAAAAAGTTCAAATTATTGAAAACACGACGGTCGATTTCGTTTTGCATTGAAAGCAAATATATGATGAACCATGATATTCTGTATCAAGCATACTATCAACCAAGATAAGACTAACCCTTAGAGCAACACTGCAGCTCTTGCTACAGCATCTATCATGCATCAATCCGAATAAACCAATGAATCATCGCCTTTACATGTATTTTCTGCTAAAAATTATCGGGCATGACTTGAAATGAACATTCTCTAATAACATTGATCTCTTGGTAATATATTCACAGCCTCAAATGTTCTACTGAGATATCTTTGGAAAAAAGTAACAAAAATATAAGGCTATCCATTTTTTGCCTCAACAAAACCTGCCTTTGGCTCAAATAATCAAACTAGAAAAGGGAGGGTGGGGGATTCAAGCACCTACTGAAGCAGCTTTGGATCTGGTTGCAACAGTTGCGGTATGAAAAAGTCAAGCCCCGCCAGCAGTGTCCATATCGGTAACTCCATCAATTCCTTTGAAAACAACACGTAATTTTCTTAAACATGATTGCTTCTTATCACCCTTTCCAGCTATGCCAGTCACATGGACAATGTCCTTGGGGATTTTATCCATTAGGTCACATAGTGGCATATCCAGGTTCGAGCGAGTCATCTCTTCCAGTACTGGAGGTCCCTGCATATACAGATTCTTCCCTCTGTGCGTAACACTTGCTCTGGATAGAAGCAACTTAGGGTGATCTTCAAGTAGATCGATAAACTGCTCCAAGACAACAGAAATTACGACTAGTGTTACCCCAAAATGAAGGTCAGGGGCATAACAGGAGACTGCCAGAGGCAGAGAACTATTTATGCCCCTAAAGAGCAGAAACAAATAGAGTAACAAACACTTTAAGTTTCATGTTTCCCATAATGATCGTGTATAGAATCTAACCACTTATCTTGGCAAAATAAAATCATTAGACCACAGAGAAAGAAATTACTACATGATACCATCGTTCAAAGTTTGGATGACTAATAAAAAAATTGCATTGGTAGAACTTTGTAACAGATATTTCCAACAACATCCTTTTCATTTCATTCACAAACCATGTCTTAAAGCATCCTGAGGTTCTATACCATATCAAATGGCAGAGTCATAACCTTATAGGACCCCAGTCAGTTCTGCAATTCATAAGCTTTCACTTTCTCACCCCAAGGTATAACCAAGGTCCATACAGAACACAACCAACCCAAGAGATAACAGATCAGGTCACATCCAGGTCATGATAGATCAGCAGAACTTACCATTTTGGAATGTATAATAGAAATCACTAATGGAGTGTACAACTAGAGACACAAGGCAATTTTGAAAAAAAAAAGATAAAAATAAAGGAAAACACCTTTTTCAAGGTAACTGAAGTGTCCAGCTCAATAAGAATGCCAGGACCACACACAAGACAGTCTTTGTCTTTCACAAACTCAGTCACTTTAGTGTGAAGGCCTTCGACACCATTATATCTACATTGAAACAAGAATTATAATTGACAAAATAAAGTTAACAGAAACAAGATAAAGGATATTAAACAATATATATCCAAGTACCATTAATTCCATTATCCTATTCCTATCCAACTATGTAAGAGGAGAATGGTACTTCTCACTAAATATGATGGAGTGCAGACCAGGAGGAGTAACAAGCTTTTCACCAAAAGCCTTGTATAACCTTTAAGATAAACAGCAAGGGGAGCAAAATTTCAAATGAGATACTGCTTTTCAATTTTGACTAGATGTTGGAAGTTTGTCCAAGCTCACTCCATTATGACAACATTTTAAAGGTCATAACCTCACCTTTTGAAAATTTTGAGTACAGGTCAAAAGAAGGAATTAATAAAGTTTGAGATGAACATTAAGAAAGCAAAACAGACAAACATTATACATTTTAAAAGTGCGAGAGAAAAGAAGAGACACAGTGGGTTCAGGCAGCCCACAGAGGAGCATAAATTCCAACATCTGGCATAATGTCATTCTGAAGATTTGATCTAAGTAGATAACTGTACCAAGTTAAAGAAGGGGGAGGGAGCATGTTGAAACACAACCATCAAAATGCTAGTAGTAATAACGATGACAATAATGATAATATGGGCCAAGTCAAATTAAGAAATTGGCTTTGATGTAATATAGAATCCGTTTAACAGGCTCAAAGTAGTCCAGACGTATTGATAATTAAGAATACAGCTGATGGCTGAAGAAGTCAAAACTCACAGAATCCGTTTAACAGGCTCAAAGTAGTCTGGACGTATTGATAATTAAGAATACAGCTGATAGCTGAAGAAGTCAAAACTCACCAAAATGAGATGAAGAGACTACAGGCATTAGATAGAGGATCTAGGTAACTGTTAACCTGGTATGTTTTGGATGGGTACACTTTTCATCTTATATTAAGCTTCAAAAAATCAATTAGTGGTTGCACTGAAACTCATCAAGTATATGCAATTGAGAGATGATACTATCAAATTTACAGGAAGTCATACTAGAGCCTTAATAATTACTTGTCAGCCATGGAATTAGGAATGTCATCATGAAGATTATGTTCATTTACTTCAAAACCTCAAGCCAAACATGTCATCTATCAGAACGAGATTCACAGAGCTAACAACTTGCAAGTGTTGAGGAAGTGGCACTAACGTTAGATAATTTGATAATGTTTTACTGCATGCTGATACAATCTTCAACGTTTCCAAAGCACATGCAGCTGATATAATTGCATTGGTGGATGCTATAGCAGGTATGATATTTTTCACCACCCCCTGCAACCAAAGAAGATAAAAATCTGCTTGTATACTTAAATTCATATATGTTAGTGGCACTATAATGTCCAGTGTGGCTTTTTCACACTGCACAAGGAATACAGGTTAATAGAACAATCCTCTTAGCTCTAATTCTCCACAAATCCAATCATGAACAGGCCATCAGAAGGAAAATGCACCATACTCATGCAGTAAGTCCACAGAGTTCAAAATGACACAGAAAAAGTTTACCTGGGTCAAAGAATATGTGACTCCTAGAATGCCAAAAAGCTCTGCTCTCTTGACAGCCTAAACAATATAGCTAGCGTAAGAAAGGGGGAAAAATATTGATTTAAAAACAAAGGGAAAAAAAGCAATGAAGTAATAAACCTCTGAATAGACCCACTGCATATGTTCAGGATTATCTGGATCAAAACTTTTTCCACTATGAGCCTGCACGTGGAATGCATAATATGATGATAAAGCAAATGGTTCAAAAGCAACACCAAAAGAAAGAGGAGAAAACGATCAAAGGGATTACCTCATCCCATTTGATTAAATGGGCATATTCAATGCAATGAGCAGCAGTTCTTGGGGTTTCCGCAAGAGTACATAAAGGAAACTTGACTTGAGGGGGAAAGAGCCAAATTGTACACTCAAAGCATGGCGTGACCCCTGGCATAATAATCCTAGCATGACCCTTGAAACCTTCAGTTCCACCATCTACCATAGGTTTTATTGTTTCTTCTCGAGGGTTGTCATCAGAGTCATACTCTAATTAACAGTACCAAATGAAACAGAATCCATAAACTTGGCCAAACTATAGCAATGCTAGTTTTGTTGAGGTTGTCAACTATTTTATGATTAATTATTAAATAAATCCTTTCTCAATTATACATGAAACAATCAAATACAATGACAGCAGCCCATGAAATACCAGGTTAAGGGAAAGAGATCTAAACTCACAGCTGGAACCAGGCAAAACTCCAAATTTAAAGAACATTCAAGGTCAGGGACTCAAGATAAAAGTAATAATAATAAGTTGCATAACAAAACACAGTTTAATCAACACGTCCAACCTTAAGCAGAGAACATCAACAATTAACAACTGAAGTCTCATCATAAAAGGAGCATTAAGCAAGAGAACAGCTACTGGGCACACATATATCCAAATTTGAAAGCATTCAACAAGTGAAACAATAAAAGACTTGCAGACTGCAAACCAGAAGAGTGGTAGAAAGGACACACCTAGAAAACTACAAGCCACAGCGTTTATGTAGCTTCGAGCCTCAATGGAATCAAGGCCAAGGACTATAATACTGAAATCATTGTAAAATTCTAGCTCTTTATCCTCAATGCGACAAAAATGTGGCACAATATTCACACCACTAATTCTGTCCATCACTCGCTTTGCAGCCACCTCAGCTTTCGGCTTTCCAACATCTTCAAACCTACAGGAACAATACCATAAGGAAAATTTTGGGGAAAGACACTCACATCACTGATAAAAGATAATTTAACTGGAAAAAATGTATCCTTCGACTGATAATATTTCCCCTAGAAGGAAAATAATCATCAGCACATGAGATGCTGGCATGTATACACACATGTATAATCACCTGGCTACCCTGATACTGGTGATCCCTACTTTTTTCCAGAGAACTAGTCAAACTAAAGCATTAAACTTAAGAGTAAAACTAGCTTTTTTACATGCATATCATTTAAGACGAGAATGAATCTCCTCGAGTCAAGCAAATCTATTCAAGAAAATGTGGTGTTCACTCCAATCATATCTTATTGACATTCTTAAAATAGGGTTTTGATTATTTTGCTCCTTAACTCTATCTTAACCCACAGAGTCTGGTGCATTACTGTGTGTGGTTCATCAAATGCATTGACCAACCCCGTATGGCTTATAGATGTAAACAATCAACTTAGCCTTCGGTCAGTATTGCATATGTCAGAAATTCTATCTCATCTCAAAAGCCCCTATCCACCCCCACACACTTTGAATTTTTCTAGTAAGTACATTCAATGTTGCTTTACTGTTGTGGTATTAATGAATTGATGCGGAACAAAAAATGTCAGGTTTCCAAATTCCAAACTTGTCTGTGGAATTACGCAATTGAAAGGCATGTCTGTACACAGAATTAATTGCAATTGATGCCCCATTTCTTCAATAAAAGCACTTGACCACCACTCTCATCATTCTTAGGCAATAATTTGATTAGACCTCTATTGGATGGACAATCGTTTTCATGGCATCTGATGTAATAGTTCGTGCTCTCATCCCTATAAAAGCATCTCAACAAAAATGAATTAAGTTCCAAGTTCACAGTCTCTGCCCAATCTCATGGACCATAATGCAGCATGGTTTATCTATTGATATTATATGTGACTTTGTTTTTGAACTGAACGTGATACCTAAAATGTACAGCGGGCACATATTGGTTACAATACAATGAGCAATAAAACTGATACAAATCAACTACTGAACGTCTGCCTGTATCAACTGTGAACTTGAATGCGAATATGAATACCCAAACAGACTATGAGAGTAGGAGAAACAGCCAGACCACAGTATCAAATTTGCAACGTTAAATGCTTCTGTGGATTCAGCTATTGACAAGTGGAAGAACCACAAAGAGCAAAATGATGAAGAGTCTAGTTAAATTGTCAGAAGTCACCCCTATATACCACCAATTCAAACCCCTCAGCTAAACAAGACAATCAACAACCAATGCTAAATATAGTCCACCATCTTCTTAGAGCACTAGAAAATGAGCTCAGATAGGCACTATTGAGATAACCCTGCATACTGGGCACATGAGCATGTAAGCAAATGTGCCCAGGCACACACATGTATAGCTCCAGAAATGTAAATACACACACCTGAACAGAAATTGGCGATTGAGATTGGACACTTCAATTCGGTCCATGTCAATGACTTCCAGGTTCCGAAATCCCGATAAAGCCAAGTCCTTTAGTAATTCACACCCCAATCCACCGGCACCCACCACCAAAACCTTCGCATACTCTTTAAGATCATCTCTCAACTACAACACAACCCAATAAAAAATAAAACGATACTAGAAATAGTGAATATACACCAACTGTTTGTAAAAATGTCTGAGAGAGAGAGTTTTTCCAAAACTTACTTCAGGTCCAGGTTCGAAGTTCGGGCCGACGAGATGGCCTGGTCGGAGGAGGAGCTTATCGAGGTCTCTTGATCGGCTGGGTTGCGCAGTGGTGTCCGCCATTGCACGACACAAATTTTTCTCACAGATCGATAACACAATGATTCAGATACTTAGAGGGGACGGTATTGGGGGTGATGGCTTAAATTTTACGCTGGGGGTGTGTTGATGGTCTTATCCTGCGCATTCATGTATTTATTTGGGTAATCAAAATATTACACGATACAATTAATAAATGGGTAAAATATGAGAAAAATTAATTAAAATAAATAAATTATATAGTCCATTTATATATTTATTATATACGATTGATACACGATACAAATCTGATATAACACGACTTATCAGAGATAAATCGATAAACGAATAGAGAATAAATAAAATATTTTTTAACAAACCCAGGCCTAAGCTCCCTCCTATGACCCTATCAAATATTTGAATTATTATTGTTTTTTCCTCCTTCTTCTTCTTCTTTTTATGATATAAGTTTTAAATTTTTTCGAGATAAATAAGTTTGTGAAAGATAAGTAACCTAAATTTTTGTATAGTTTTTGAAGAGAAAAAACACCTAAAAAGCAATGATTCAAAAGTAAGAAAATACTCAGTAGTTGACTCAATAGTCATCGTTCCACTACTGAACATTAAAGTCATGGTTTTAATCTCGTTGTTTTCTTTCTATTTAATCAAACAAAAATAAAATAGAGTAATACTTATCTTCTACCAAACAATAATTTCAATTCAGCGTATAAAGTTTGATGTAGATTTGGATTCATAGATGTGTTGGTTAATAAACTCTCAATTCACATAAATTAAAATTTATAAGTTATTTTTTTGTATGTTTTTTTTAAAATAAACTTGAAATAACTGTAAAAAAATTTTCGTCGAAATAATCCCACCTCAGAGATCAATTTTTTTCAAAATTAGAAAATATTATCCATTATTTTCATCTATCATAACAAGAATCTTGTGTGTTGTATACGATTTTCTTTTTTCTTCTTTAAATTTCTTAAAAGATGAACGAAATATTCAAAAATAACTTAATTTATAACGTTTGAATCATTCAGATTCAACTAAGATTTCAAAAAGTCTCTTCTCGGTATCATACCCTAGTTTTTCTTCAAATGAAAATTTGACACGTGTAAAAATTATTTATTTTATTAAATAAAAGGACATTAAAGGCCCAAAATTATTTGGGGGTGTTTTTGTGGGTACCATAGTGGTATGCCGAATCATTCAAATGTATGATAAGTACAAAGAATTCTATCGTAATGTATGACCCACAACACATTTATATTGGGTATCAATCACTTCCCAAAACCTTTTTAGATTTTGGAACCTCCCCCACCCCCCCTTAAAAAAAAAAACCCAACCCCCTTACCCCAAGCCTCCTATTTGGATTGCTATACAAGTGTATGCCATTATGCTTCCAATGTGCAACAGTTTCCTCACATTTTACGAGATATTGAGGAGAAATCCAACATGCTTATGCCTGGAAAAGCTACTATCCACTATGAAGTACAATATGCATGAGAGATACTCTGTCATCAATACAGTTTACAAAGTATGAACAGAATTTGCTAACAGCACAGTCATTCTAAAGAATGGAACTACCTTGTAGACTTGCCTCCAAATGAGGGGAAAAGATGAAGAAAAAAAAAAACCCAGAATGTGTATGTGTCTGTGTCTGCTATCTTATCTGCGGAACCCCCAGTTCCACGAGTGCCTAGAATTGGGCTCTTCCTATGTCAGCAGAAAATATATAACCAATAACCCGCTTCCCTTCGACTCAAATCTCTCTAACTAATCCGATACTTCAATACGGTCTTGTCTTGCTGCTTAACTCGTGGATGAACTCGTCTTGATGAAATCAATGTTTTTTTTCCTTGCACCAAATGAATAAAATAGTTTGTAGGCTAACTGACTGAAATTTAGATTGAGTTCCAAGAGCGGGTGGCCTCATGCTTTAAAAAGAGAGCATAGAGTAGCTCATTCCATGCATCCGGGACTCCAGGCAGACACCAATGGCTGCAGTCCTGCTTATGAAGAGAAGCAGGACCTACCTTAGGACCCAGATAGTATAGGGATGAATGACCATCTTTTCTTCTTGAAGTCATATGTGTAACATTTAATACATCTAATGATTTAGCATCTGAAATGTTTGTGTGAGCTGATATTACATCCATCAATATGCTATATCGGTTCCAAGTGTGGGAAGGCACCAATGATGCACCCAGCTCTGGTAGCGTCTCCAAGTGACAGTGTCCTCCGCTTCTCCAATCCCCACCTCTGCAAATACCAAGTTACAGTTTAGCTTCTCAAACCAGCACAAGTATCAAGCATTCCACAGAAATACAGGTGCAAAAGCCAATGAGGTTTCCTTTTAATTATGCACATGAGGATCACCAGTGCAGGTTTCCAATGCCACATTACAGTCTAAGAAATGCAGCTATAACTCTACGACATGTAAGTTTTGAAAAAATATGTATAAACAATGGTGTTGTTTAAGACATGGGGCCACTTGGTTGCTCCAACCTTCCACAGATAGCAAGTTCGTTCACTGTCAATGTCCAATGATTGAAGTTCTAGTTATGAGATGTAGAATCAGTACAGGTCCAAATTTTACACCACCACAATCAAAATCATGTGGGGCAGGTGCAAAGATTCCTTAGGTTGATGAAACCTCCCAATCGCATTATTGAGGAATTTTGGCGGACTTGTGGAGTAAAAAGTAAGAACACAAGAGACAAACCTGAGAAATTATGACTAAAACAAGAAACAAACCTGAAGTGTACAGGAGCATATGTTCGAAAGAAAACCTGGGTCTTGCTGTGGTTCACTTGACGATGTATCCAGTCTACTACTGTTTCAATGGACTTCCGGTATGCACTGTCAACTTTCATCTTCATCTTCACCTCTGCTCCTTCTTGGAAGTAACAACCCCTGAACAGTTTGTTGAATCCCGAAGTCAAAAATATACTGGAAACTAGAGACAAGAGGATAGAGAGGTACTATTGCCACCCCATGAACAAGATGAGTTAGTTTATTTATTGTGGATGATTTGCATCATATATCGATTCTTCACTATGCATAAAGTTTGATGTTTCCTCGTGCATTGAACAGCACTATTAGCCCAAAAAAAGGGGTGTCTTAAGTGTTTTCTAGGACAGCATACCACCTCAATTTAAGAGATGAAACTAAAAAATGTCAGCAGGGCAGCTAAAAGGAGGAAAAGGGTCGAGGGCTAAACTTCCGTCACCAACAACCAAAAGAAAAAAAAATTGAGGGATAAATTCAATTTTATTTTCTTTCCAAACAAAACCACAGTATGCTCTCCCACGAGTGGCCAAACTTCGTGAGAGGTACACGACATTTTAGCCCACAACAAAGAATTTTACCAAAAGCAAGCCATCATGTCTACAGGCACAAAAGGATCGATTATCAACATTTTGAACTGTATTTAGGCAATATCACTGCAAGCTTGGAACAAGCAGAATAATTTTATTACTTACTATCCAGGATTTAATGTTTCGTATTTGACCTCCCCTAAGCATGATTTAGAAAACGCCTAAAACTTCTGAAGCAGTTTAGCCTAAAACTTCATATATAAAAGATGAAAGCAAAAAAAGGCAACAGGAAAGAAATGCTAAAATATCGAATTACCCTCTTATGGTCTTCTCGTAGTTCCACCAATGTCCTGTATTGAAAACCAGCACATCTGCATCTCTCCACTTGGAAGAGCTCCAATCCATCTGATCTAATTTCAAGGTAGTTTTTATTTTTGATGGAGTTCCAGGAGGAGGCCGGCTTTGCAATACAAGAAATGGAGCCCTGAAGTACTCCACAGTGCAGTTGTACTCCAAAAATTTGAACACCAGAAACCCTTTGTGCTTTGTGATTGGACTGCCATTCACTTCATAGATAGCATCCTTATTTGAAACAGCAGAAGAGAGCATGCAGAGGATGGACTCCCACTGGTTTCTTCCAATTGAGTCTCCAACAAACACTAGCCTTTTGTTCCTCAGTTTCTCCAGCATCATCTTTGCATCAAATCTGTTTTTGTAATTGGGAAAGGAAGCTACCGAAATTATTTTCTTCTTTTTCTTGTCAAAATGCACATTTTAAGATTGCATATAAAGTTATCAGAAAATTTCAAGACTACAGGTAGGAAGATACCCTGCAAATGAACAGATAAGAGTTTGTTGATTCCCTAAACAAAGTTTCAATCTATTTCATTAAGTTCCCAACCATACTCAAATAGCTGTTCCCCCTTTTTTCATTCTTTTATCCCCCAAATGGCAATATCATAGGTTGAGAATATCGGAGAAAACACACACTCAAACACACACCACATACATATATCATTGTATTGTTTCATTGTTCCATCAGCTTAACTGGACAGCTAGAACATGTAACGGACAGAATAACATTATCCGATCACCACCGTCAATTGAAATCCTCGGATCAACAATTAACAAATAGTGTGGTTGAATGGCAAACAAAATGATGCTGCAATGTTGTCAAGAGAAAATTGGATTTTTTTTTAAAAATGAATTGACCGCATTATCCATAAATTCAGAGGCAAAGACATTGAAAGAAACAAAGAAAGAACCAAACAAAAGAAGAAAAAAAAGGACAAACTACGAAAAGAACTGACAAACTTCACAAATCATATCCTTGAAATCGACTCTCGTGACTCAATTATTTGGATCCAATGCAAGATTTTATCCTGTAGATGAGTAAGTAGCAGTAGCTAGATTAACTCTGAAGAAAAATCACAAGAACTGATCTTTTTTACAGCACAGTGAGTAACTAAATTATGTGAAAATTACACATAATAATTAGGAAAAAGACACAAGACAAAAGCAATCAGAAAGTTGCAAAATAGAAGCAACACAAAAATCCATAAAAATATATCCATCCATTTGGTTATCGATCAAAAACGAGGGAAAAATGAATTCCTTATGAAAATTTCCATACTGAACCAGTGTTACAATTGTGACAGGTTTAGCTGTTCAAATCTAATTTTATGAGCACAATACCAGTTTAAGTTCTGGCTACAAAATTTTCCCAGTAACCAAACACTAATTCCAATAAAGTCAATATGAAATTCAAGTAAAAACCTGGGCAAGTTGCAATCTTTGGGTTG